GGAAAAGTTCCTCCCACTGCTGGGTGTCTGCCTCAACTAGGCCCTGCTGACATTGCAGTTGCCATGGTAAGAGTATCAGAGGGGTAGCCGTGTTAGTCTGAATCTGCAAAAGCGACGAGGAATCCTGTGGCACCTTATAGACTAACTGAAGTGTAGGAGCATAAGCTTTCGTGGGCAAAGACCTACTTCGTCAGATGCATGTAGTGGAAATTTCCAGAGGCAGGAATAAATATGCAGGCCAGGATCAGGCTGGAGATGACGAGGTGGATCCAATCAAGGAGGCTGAGGCCCACTTCTAGCAGCTGATCTCCAGAGTGGCGCATCCCTCAGTTGCTCCCACAGGGCAGGCTTCAGGTTTGGCTGTGCAGGGCCCAGCTGGGCAGGACAGACTCTTGTGGTGTGAGTGGCCAGTGCCCTCCCCCTTCCCTGGTAGCAGGTTAGGCTGCCCTGTGTTCGGCAGCAGTGGGAGGAGCCCGCAGGATGCAGGTGGGGGCTTGGGGTCCTTCAGAGCTTTGCACTTAGGGGACTTGGTCTGGGGGAAGGGGTTCAGGCACTTCAGCACCCACCCCCCAGGGTGCCATGGACCAGACCCCCACAGGACTCTGCCCCCCAGCAGTGCTGGACACCACGGGGTCACCTACTCACCCACCCCTGCCTCACTGTGCTGCACCTAGCCTCCCTCCCCCCCATATCCCTGAACCCCCCAAAAACACCCTAACTACAGCCCTATTCCCAGGGGCACCCTGCCCCCATCAACCTGAACCCCCTCAGCCACTCTGCACCCCAGCATTATCTGCAGGCACTCTTAGCCCCCATCTTCCTCCCTCCTTACCAGGCACCCTCCCTCCTGGCTAGACACCCTACCCCAAGCCTCCTGCATCCGCTTTGCTCCTTGCACCTTCCCTCCTGGTCACACATTGCACCCTCCCTTGCTCCTGCTCCCTCCTCCTAGCCAGCCACCCTACTCCCAGCCTGCTTCTGTACCCTACCTCCCACCAAGACCTTGCAACCTCTTCCCCTTCTGCACCCCACCTCCCTTCCAGATCCTGCCCTTATTTCTATCCCACTCACTGGCAGCCCTGTCCCACACACTGAACCCCTCATTTTTGTCCTCACCCCAGAGTCTAAGGAGGTCTATAAAATCCAGTAACTCCAGAACACCAGAAAAGTGAATCTGGCCTATGGGAAGCCCTGAACTTCAGTCCTCTCTGTCTCTTCCCCTCGCCCCATCAGGCTGGAGCACCAGGATTGTGAGGGGGGGGGGGGGTTGGAAGAGAGTTTTTTTGCTTCTCACTTGTGTGGACCCCAACTGATTTTTCTGTGGGTCAGTGGCTCCTGACACAAAAAAGGTTCCCCACCCCTGCCATAAATAAAGAAAACATTGAAACCTTTTGTGTTGGACATAAATTAATATTTTACTTTATTTAGAATGAAATTTTATAAACGAACATGAGACAGTTAAAACTCTTAATCTGTTTAATGACTTAAATTGAACCATTCTCCCTAGCTGCAGCCAATAGCAAAATGGCTTGAGTGTAATTACTATATGTAATTAATGATGAGTTTACATTATCAGCTTGTGGTCCGCAGAAAGTTTCACATTGGGTGGTCCGTGGGCTAAAAAGTTTGAGAACCACTGATCTAGCCTATTATCCTGTCTTCCTACAGTGGCCAATGCCAGGTGCTTCAGAGGGAATGAACAAAACAGGTAATCATCTAGGCTGTGTCTACACAGCAGCATTAGAGGTGTTTAAGTCTCGGCTTGACAAAGCTCTGGCGGGGTTGATTTAATTGGGATTGGTCCTGCCTTGGGCAGGGGGCTGGACTTGATGGCCTTCTAAGGTCTCTTCCAGCTCTATAGTTCTATGATTCTGTGATTTCAGAATAACCGATGTTATTTCAAAATTACAAAGTGGCTGTGTCTAGACTGGCCAGTTTTTCCGGAAAATCAGCCGCTTTTCCGGAAAAACTTGGCAGCTGTCTACACTGGCCGCTTGAATTTCCGCAAAAGCACTGACTTCCTACTGTAAGAAATCAGTGCTTTTTGCGGAAATACTATGCTGCTCCCGTTCGGGCAAAAGTCCCTTTTGCGCAAAAGGGCCAGTGTAGACAGCTGAGATTTGTTTTGCGCAAAAAAGCCCCGATCGCGAAAATGGCGATCTAGATTGGCCACAGACGCTTTTCCGCAAAAAGTGCTTTTGCGGAAAAGCGTCCGAGCCAATCTAGATGCTCTTTTCCAAAAATGCTTTTAACGGAAAACTTTTCTGTTAAAAGCATTTCCGGAAAATCATGCCAGTCTAGACGTAGCCACAATGTGTTTCTACAACGCAAGCTGTTACTATGAAATAATTTATGGCGATCTAGATTGGCCACAGACGCTTTTCCGCAAAAAGTGCTTTTGCGGAAAAGCGTCCGAGCCAATCTAGATGCTCTTTTCCAAAAATGCTTTTAACGGAAAACTTTTCTGTTAAAAGCATTTCCGGAAAATCATGCCAGTCTAGACGTAGCCACAATGTGTTTCTACAACGCAAGCTGTTACTATGAAATAATTTAGAGATGGAGGACTTCTTACTTCGACTCCTGTAACCCTCATTTCATGAGGAGCAAGGGAAGTTGAAGGAAGAGAGTTCTTCCTTCGACTTCCTGCTGTGTAGACCATGCCAAAAGCCGAATGAAGCTATTTCAGCTTTAGCTTTGCAATTGATGTACATGTCTCTGAATGAACCTAGGATGGGATTTCATCAGGGAAAACCTTTTGTCACTTCTTTCACTGTCTCCTCTCCCACCTGGTACCAAATTTGCCCAGGCCTAATAAAGTTCATCTCTGCAAGTGTATAAACTTCCTAGAATCAATTATTATGCTCCTTCTGACAGCAGGACCTACAGGTGCTAACCAAGACACAAAACCCATAGTGCTAGGCATGCATTGTACATACACAGATGTACTGTGTAAATGTATGCACTGTACAGTACATATATAGTCACGGCCCACAAAGAGTTTACAGTCTAAATAAAAAAGACAAAAGGTGGCAGAAAGAGGAGAAACTTCTTATAGAGGAGAACTGAAACACAGGGGAAAAAAGTGACCTAAGGCCAGCACAGGAAGTGGCAAAACCAGGAATTTAACCAGGTCTCCTGCAGCCCAGGCCCAGCCTTTCCTCTCATTATTACCAAAGTAGCACTAGACAAGCCCTATTCACTACACCAGTGTTTCTCAACCTTTTTTTTTTATAAAGAACCCCTTTTCAAAAAAACCAAAATTATAAGTACCCTCAGTACCTAGTTTTCAGACACACAATTTTTTTGTCTACCATTGCACCCCATTTGTTTAAATAACTTAATTTTAGCTGGGCAGGCGATGAAATTTTTGGGTGTAAAATGTACAAAAATAATAAAGCGCTGTCAAACTTCAAACAAAAATTCAGTTCTCTCCAAATTTCAGTTGTTGACGTCCCCCCCCCAGACTTCTCTCAAGTACCCCTAAGGGTACTTCTACCACTGCTTGAGCTACACTGTATGTACAGAAAGGCCAGTAAGGAGAATAATCATTTGCACTGCTAAAACAGCTCCTACTCCAGGCACTCCACCAAGCCATGAATTCTGCTTGGGAAAAGTGAGGTCACTGCTGAAAGGTCACAGAGTGAGCTCGGCTAGCCCCCGGCCTTGGCACGGGGCAGCATGCATGCGAGGAAAGGGGAAAGACGCCTTTGAACCTCACCGGAGTCCATTGGCCTGGCAGAGCTTTCCTGGAGGGGTCAAAGGGAGACAATGACGAGTTGTCCACCCGCAGGCTCCTTCCTCCCCGGCTCCAATTGTTTCCCAACTCGTGCAGGCTGCAGAGCGCACAGGGCCCTACCTAGGTACCCCCCGGGGCTGCTCCCCGCCCTCCTCTCGGGGAAAGACGCCTTTGAACCTCACCGGAGTCCATTGGCCTGGCAGAGCTTTCCTGGAGGGGTCAAAGGGAGACAATGACGAGTTGTCCACCCGCAGGCTCCTTCCTCCCCGGCTCCAATTGTTTCCCAACTCGTGCAGGCTGCAGAGCGCACAGGGCCCTACCTAGGTACCCCCCGGGGCTGCTCCCCGCCCTCCTCTCGCTGGATCCTCGCTGCACCTAGGGATGGAGCGCGCGGTCTCCTCCTGCCAGGA